TCAGCTGAATTCCTATACCAAGCCATTTCTGGGAAAGGCAAAGCTTCCTTACTGATCACATTGGTCTCCAGTAATCTGTTCAGCCACAGCAACATCTATCATCACACAGTTCAAATTATGTTACCTTTGAATGTTTGAACATCTATTTCCCATCACCATCTCTTTCTGTAATATCAGTGTGTATCAGAGGGAAAACAAATGGAGGAATGAGAAGAAAACCTACATAGGGATGAGAAGGAAGAGGACAGAGAAAACAGCATCTAATGAATCTGGTGCCATTACATGAATCCTGGTCTAACACCAGAAATAATCCTACTCCTGAATTTACTGTTAAGGTGTCATGTTGTCTTTTCTGTTTAAAGGATTCTGAGTTAAGTTTTCTCTCATTTATAGCTAAAAGAATCCCTGGAAAATTCAATACAAGTTTGTCTGGAATCAAATGCCTCATTCTTAGAAATGAACTCAAGAAGAGAGATTGAGGTAGAAGGTAGAGGGTCACATAGAAACCAGCTTCCCTAATGAATGCAGAACAGCAATTTTTTCCTCTCACCCACCTTGTGCCCTGCATGGAAAGACCCATACACCAGGGCTTTATCATCTGTAAGACATCATGTGATAGTTCATGACATGTGACCATGATGCTAGCATCTGAAATCACCACCAGGGTGACAGCTTCCTCAGCCAGGTGCATGTAAATGCATTTGGCTGGAGGTCTTGGTGGATTTCTATTTTCCATCAGGGTTAACCACAAGTGGCTAGAGAGAAGAAGGCAGCAATAATCATCAGCAGAATTAACTATTGATGGCAAGAGACAGGCACCAGCCCAGACAGAGACAGCAGAACTCACCACCCCTAGGGTCTACCCAATGGAGGTGGTGTCACAATTCTTCCAGACATATGGATTTCTTATGAGCCATTTGTTTCTAAAAACAATTACAGGAGTAAATGCACTTGACCACCTTTGAAAGTCAAGTTCCAATCAAAGAAGGGAAGACAAGGACTGAGGCAACTCTTCTTGTGAGCGGTGTTGGATGGTATAGCCAAGAACCCCCCTGCCATCTTCTGAGGGACTCCTACACATCCTTTGCCTGAAGGCCTGAGCCCAACCCCATCCCAAGGAATTCTTACCATCCTGTTCTAAGGACCTGCTTGGCTCTGAGATACTCTATGCACATTAACACAGTGCAAAAGTCTAAGGGAACCAGAATCTCCAAGGGTAATTGCCATTTAAAGGGGTGACCACCTATCCAGAAAAGAACCCAGGGAACTAACCCTTCTGTCTGAAGAGGCGGTAGCCCTTCTAACTGTGACTAACCCCTACTTAGACTTTAAGGCATGCCCTGTACATCTGAGTGGCAGGATAGGCCATAGATAACCAGCCCAAAGAAGGACTAGAACTAGATATTTCAGTTTTTCCTCCAGTCCCACTGGGACTCCACAGAGCCCCACAGATACAGAAGGGAGAAGTCAACCAATGCTGAGAGGGGTCAATGTTTGAGAAGAAAAGGTAATCAGTTTGCTCCTATTCTACCAGGGAAGGAACTCAGAGCCATAAGTCAGACAGAAGTATCCTAGAAAGGAGAATGAGCAAAGCTTTTCTCTTTAGCTCTCGGGTGAAGAACAAAATCATGCAATAGCTCATAAGTTGTGAAGAACCAGGGTGTTGTTGGGAAGCCATAGTCTAGTAATTGGATGAAAACAGTGAGTGGTACTTGAGAGGCTGGAATACAATCTTGTAGTGCTGCCATTGGGGTGGTAAGGAAAAGGAATGGAAAGGTAAGGAACAATTTCTCTCCATATATAAGGAACTTCCTGTGAAACTTAAAAGACATACTTTGACATACCCTGAGACCCCTATTCAGGACATCATACTGCAAAATGCTAAGGAGTTCAAAGATTAGTTACCATTGGATGGGCAGAGCCCTTATCCTGGGATAAATAGGTTCTAGAAGTTCAGGTAACAATAACATTATAGGTACAGTAACCTTTAAGAAAACTGAGGAAGGATAGTGACATCCTAAAATACATATTTCCTCTATTATATCAGGTCTGTCTTATGTATATAAATAGCGACTTTTGTGGGGAGACTGTGGGACCTCAAGAGTCCATCTTATGCATAAAGCAAGATAATTTTTTTAGAAGATATATGAGAATACATTGCAAACAGAATCAAAGATGCACGGTTGATATTGTTGAATGTGAATATAACATCTGAGGTGTGGTTCAGATACACCTGCTTTTCGCAGATTGCATCCCCAAATCAGATGAGGTAAGTCTGTGGATTCCATTCACAAAGGCAGTATGGAACTAGGAACTATCTTCAACTCAACTCTCCAATCAACCCCCATCAACAGCACCTTTGTACAGCTTTAGAACTCAGCATGCATTCTCCCCACCCAAATACCATGCACTGGCCCTCCTTCGAACGTGCATGAGAACCAGGACCCCTGTTGTACCAAGGTTACTCTTTCATCTCTGCTTAACATGGACACCACACAGGAAGACTTGCTTACATGCTTCCAAAATGAATTTCCCAGGCCCATTCCCATTCCTAAGAAAGACACAACATGAAGAAGCAGAAGATGTTGCTCTGCCTTCATGCATGACCAGCAACAACAAGGACATCACCCCAACACATCTACTAATCGCTCCTGACCCAGCCATGCAAATTACAATATACACAGGACTACAGGATACCCTAGGGAGTCCTTCTGTCCTTTCCTTTCTCTGCTTCATGCTAACTGGTACCCAAGGATGCCCACTGAGACTGACAGATAAATGTAGAGGTTTCAAACTTTGGTCAACCTGGATTTCAATGCTGGCTCCACTCTTCTCTACTTTTGTGTTTAAATGTCTGTGTGCTCATCCCTGAAGTGGGACTGTGATAATATCTTTGCAGGAACAGAGTGAACTAAATAAGTTAATTCAAAGTCCCTAGCCAAGTGTTGACCTAGAGTAGATGATCGTCAAATGCAAGTTGCCTTTCCCTCTGCCACCAGAAGGAAGAAAGAGAGGCCTTAGGATATCCTAAATGGCCAGTGTAAATCACAAATTAAGGGACTTTCTACAAAGATGCTTTAAAACAAATGAATCAGCGTTATTCCTTTTTTGATGCCCTCTTAGTGACGTCTCTAGCACATGAAAGCTGTGCTAACTACCAAGCAAAGCCTGCTTTGCCAATGCATGGCCACCAAGTATCTGTTTCTTGTTATCTAAAGTTTATTATGTCTTCATTTGGATTCAGACTTTTCAGCTCTGACTTATTTCAGAAAAATTATCCAAGCCATGAAAATCCTGCTCAGAGAACTTAAATAAAATCCGTACTATCATTTTTAAATAGCTCAGTTGCTTTGACCCCCTACCAAAATCTGTACATACATTCATGCACACAGGTATGCATGCATGCATGTGCTTGTGTACACACACATTCACCACTATCACTATCATCACCACTATCAACATCAGATCACACTTCCCTGTCCCTTCTCTTCCTTATTTTTCTCCTAAGGACCTGGCACTCCTTAGTTTTCTCTGTACCTTAAACTTTATCTTTGATTTTCCTAATTAGAGGCAGAGATTTTTGCCTATTCTATTCATGATTGTCCTAATGTACTGGAGAAGATTGAGATGGATGCTGTTTGTTCCTGTTTAATTATTAATAGCTTCTCTTTTCACTCTAGCAGTGACCAAGTTGAGATAATCAAGTACACACAAATTGATTTATAATAAATAACTGCTCAAATGAGTTAATACATTTGATCCATGTGACACTTTAGTAAAACTTGTCAGCTCCTAAAACCAATAGTTTGACCCTAATGTCACTGAAAACACGTGACTTTTTAAAAGAGAAGAGCCTGAGTTCTTGTAACCATTCTGGCTGCAAATATCAAACAAGGCTGGCAAAAAAAAAAAAAAAAAAAAAAAAAAAAAAACCTGAACCTTAATTCCATTATAAGTAGTAGTGTCAGGGAGAAACCTGTGAAACTGAGGCCCTGGGAGAACCTGGGAGGCTATGCTTAATTTACCTCACTAACCAAATCAGGAGGGAAACGAATGAAATCATCAAAGTGTTCCCAGGCACCTGCCTGTGAGACTGCAGCATTGGCAGAGAATCGCATATTAGAAATGGGGACTCCTCCATTCAACATCACACCCCGTCAGTGCTGAAACACAGCATCTGGCCTGGAGAGAACCTTCCTCGGGGTGACAAGCAAGGCTTCTGCTTGATTTTTAAGGCCTGATAAATTTTGTGACTCTGTGGATTGTTCTAGAAACAGAATGGGAAAGATGCAGACAAAAAGTGGCAAGAAGCCATTTGACGTAGTCTGAGACCCAAGGCAGGACAGATGGACCCTCTACTGGAACTGAAGCATGTCCATCTTCTCCCCCGAAATGACCATAGGCATTAAAGCATAAATAGAAATCTCCCACAAGTATACACAGATGACTCAGTTACTGTGGTCCTTTAATAACTGTCCTGAACATCAGTATCTTCTTAGATCAGAATTCATTTGAGAGCAAGTGCACACCTCCTGCTCAATAACCCATCAGCCTATTTGCTTATGGTATTCTCATATCCCTCAAGGGAGCCCCTTATTGAGCATTAGACAACAAAAGTATATGCAAGACTCAAGACCACATCTCCTGGAATGCAAGAAAGCAGCCAAACCACCATCCATGCAGAGCCTCCAACCTCCACCAACACACAGGCCTGGACAGAACTGCTGGCAGCCACCTCAGTCAGGATGTGCACCTACTTTTAGCAGATCATGGCCCCACACCCCCACCATGCTGTGTCCCCATGAGACATCACAAGCACACCAGTGCCTTTGGCAGGGAACCTCCATGGAAGTTGAATGCTGCCCCCATGAGAGGAGGCAGTCAAAACAAAGTTGGCCGCAGCCTCCCACACATGGAAGTTCCTCTCCAAAGCCTGCAAGCTGTCAGTGTGTGGACAGCCCTGTCCAGCCCCTGGCCCCAAAAACAAAATCCAGACTCACTGTGGAAGCTGCTGGTGCTGCTAGCCTCTGCTGCTGCCACGACACGCTGAATGGGCCCTTCTGGCATGGCCCTTCCTGACAGTGAATGAGGGAGAGAGCAGGGGAGAGGAGAGAGGAGAAAAGGGATGAGGGAAGAGGGAGGAAGGTAGACCGGGAGGGAGGCAGGGAGAGAAGGGAAGCAGGCCTGTCTTTAATGGAATAGATGTGTCTGCAGAGCACAGCCTCCAAACTTCTTTCCCACGCTCCCAGACAGAAAAGCTGACTGTCTGTCCACAAGACCTTACTCAGGAGTCCACTCGGGAAGGACTCGCACACAACCCAAAGGACATATCACCATAATTCTACTCCTAGTCCATGCCACTTGACTGTCTGCCTCTGAGGGCTACCAAAACTCAAGAGGATTTCCTCCAATGGGTCAGTTCTCCTTTCCACAGGATTAACACCCCAGCCACTACCACTCTGGAAGGAAGTGCATCTTATCTAGTATTCTCAACCCATTAGGTCAAAGAAAAGGAATTTTTTTTCCAAAGCTCCTGAAGGAATATTTGTTCTTTTTGTATCAGCAGAAACTTCATGAATTTACTACCATCCCCAGGGCTTCCTAACCCCCCTTTCTGCTTTTCCTATTTGGAAAGTAGGGGAGATGGCTGGACAGGATTTGCATTGGTGTCACCTGCAGGGGCATTGTCACCCTCCTCCTCCAGCTGTTGACAGAATCAGTGTTTGCATTCTCCAACCCCACCTGCCAAACCTCACTTCCTTTGATATCCCTCTCTAAAATGTAGGGGACGGGCCTAAGCTATCTCTGAGGAAGGATTCACAGTAATGTAGCACTGACATTTCTTAATCACCTCTGGGGTCAAGAGCTGTGTGCAGAGGGCAAGAGACACACACAGCCCCACTCTCCACAGAGCCAGAGGCAAAGGAAACCCTTAAGGATGAAGCAGTTTGGCAAAGCATGTTTTTGAAGCAGGAAGTCCATGTGTACAAACCCAGAGGGTGAGGCTGAGAAAACCATCCTAGGGTGACCATAAAATGAACCTGGTGGGTTTTGATGGCATTCAGGGATGGACAGCAAGAAATAACAGGAGGGTGAAGGGGGAAAAAATGAGTGGACAGATGGGCAGTTGGATGGTTAAACAGAGAAGGTATTATTGTGTCCCCCACACAAATTTATTATGTTGGAATTCTAAGTCCCAGTTCTCTAGTATGTGTCCATAGTAGACACATGGGCTTTAGAGGTCATTATGTTGGGCACTAATCTAATATGACTGGTGTCTTTACAAAAAGAGGAAATCTGAACACTTACAGAGGGAAGATCTTGTGAGGACAAAGGAGGTGGTGGGCCTGAGAAAGAGTCAAATCTTCCTGTGCCTAGATTTGGAATTCTAGCCTCCAACCTGTGAGAAAATAAATTCTGTTGTTGACACCCTCTGAGTTGTGGCACTTCGTTAGTACAGGCTTCACCAATGACGCCAGAGGACACTGAGCATTTGTGTCATGTGAACCAGGATCCAAGCTTGCTGGGCTGGATGGAATTACAGGACTTCCCTGGCAGGCTCAGGAAGAAGACCACAGAGCACAGACTGCGATTTTGGAAATGAGGATTTGGAAATGAGAAATGAGGATTCACATGAGGATCTTAAAGGAGCAGGGGTTGGGGGTGAAGAAACATGGGGAGCAAAAGGCTTTGACTTTGAAGGCATATACGTGGATCCAATCGTTGGGACTACCTAGGGTGATTTCTGCCTCCTGCAAAGGACAGAGGACACCAAGATACTGTGAAGCCAGACAGAGCAGGAAGGTGGCCCAGAGAGGTTCAAATAGTATTCTGCTTAGAGAACCTTCCGAGGGGGCTTTCATGTATGCTAACATGCTACTCTACAGTACTATTTGAAGAGGTGGCAGTGGCCGTGGTGAGTTTATTTCCAATAAGCAAAATTTCAACCACCAATGATCCCTCCGGAGGAGGCTTCTAGATGTAGTAATCATAGAGAAAAGATATGGAAGCATAAAAGCAACATGGGGTTCTAACCATGCAAACCTGTGGGCTCTCAACTAACTACCTCAGAACTTTGAATAAAGAGAAACACATAAATCCATGAAAGAGGCAAAGGATGACCAGAAAGGGGGAAATATTGACCAGTAAGACATCACCCAGCCATTAATTGGGAATATGATGCTGAGTAGATGGTGGAGACAGAGAAAGGGAAAGAAATGAGGCTGTTATTAACAATGGCATTCGATAGTTCAGAAAGGATTACCCCTGAGGAAAGACATTCAAATATGGGCATAATACGATAATTATCAACCCTCAAAAGTCATATTCCATGATGTGGTAAGATCAGAACAAAAAGCATTTCAGTACTAGAGAACACAAATGGATGTTGGAAAGCATCAAAAGGTTAAACAAAGATTTTTCTTTAATGTAAAAGAAATTAAACTCAGAGTAGAATGAGAGAGAAAGGTTTGAGCAGAATAAGCATAGTTGCAGAGAGGGTTGAGCTAGGGATAGGTCAAGGGACAGATGATGTGGGAGAGAATGCAGAGCTATGAATTTGGAGATATGGAGAGGGTGGATTTTCTCTAATATTTCTCAGCATCACAGAAATACACACTTGACAGTTCTTTGCTCATGCATAATGAGTCCTTAAATTACAGTGCCACATCTCAGCAATCTCTATTATAGAGTGGTCCTTGGCATCTCAGACTTAGAAGAAGGCAAAACTCTGCAGTCGCCAACTGCAATCTCATGTCCAATGCATGTGTCCCCTTGTCACACTTCTAAAATGCACGTGTGTGGATTTTCTAGAAACCATGTGGGGAGAAAGAATTCACTTCCCTACAATCCAGAACCTTCAATTTTCACATAAGGCCTTCGCCATCCTCAAGTCTCAAATATCTCTAGAGTTTGCTGATCCCACTAACACTTTTGGTTAAGAAAAATTAGGCAGAAAGAATTTATCACACAAAAATAAGAGAGGATCACCCCATCAGAACATCTCTTTACTGAAGTCTAGCCTTTTGCTCATTTATTATCTCCAGCACCAAAGCTGCAGAGCATCATGGAGATCATTCACTAAGAAGTATGTCTATCTCCTGCTCTATTTCATTAAATGAACACTTATAAAATGCCTATCATATACATATATATAATGTTGGGCATAAGGGATACAAATTTAATGAAATAAGTCATTGCCATTGAAGACACCTCAACCAAAAACATGCTATCAGACACTCTTGAGTGTGCATTTTCATAATAAACATACACTAAAATAAGCACTTCCTACAGAACATTTATGGATATTAAGACAACACTCCTTACTTCTAGCATCTTTTACTTGCCACTGAGCTTGGGACCACACTTGGATCAATTCTCTTGCTGTTGTTTATTCAGCTAGTATACTGGAGAGCCCAAGATCCCTATATTAAGGCCTCTGTTTGCTATTATAGCAGCTCTGCCAACTGTTCACTGCTGTGGATATTGCTCTATATAAATAAAACACTGATGGCCAGTGACCAGGCAGGAAGTAGGTTGCCAGGCAGGAAGTAGGTGTGACAAGGAGAGAGGAGAATTCTGGGAAGCAGAAGGCTGAGGGGGGAGACACTGCAGCCACCGCCAGGACAAGCAGCATGTAAAGACGCCTGTAAGCCACCAGCCACGTGGCAAGGTATAGATTTATAGAAATGGGTTAATTTAAGATATAAAAACAGTTAGCAAGAAGCCTGCCACGGCCATACAGTTTGTATGCAATATAAGTCTCTGTGTTTACTTGGTTGGGTCTGAGCAGCTGTGGGACTGGCGGGTGACAAAGATTTGTCCTAACTGGACAAGGCAGGAAAACTCCAGCTACAGTTCACCTCCTTTATTTGAAATAGCTTTGACACAAAACTCTATTAGAAAAAAAAAAGCACATGGAATTGTATTAATATAGAATCATACTCCCACCTTAAAATTCCAACTTATCTCATGGTGATCATACTGTACTGGTATGCTCTTTAAAAACTGTATTCATAGCTAATTCCCATCTCTTCAAAGCAAACTTTCATTATGAAACAAAACAACTAACCTTACTCTACCCTCCATTTATTGTGAAACCTGGGGATTACCAACTAATCTCTGAGCCTCAGTTTATATGTCTGTAAAGTGGAATACTCATACCAGCCAGTGAACGTAACATACTGCAATGGTCATCAGAGATGAACATCAAATCTTCCAGAAAGAAGGCCAATGCTTTTGTCATGATTCTACTACTAATAACAGATGCATGCAGTTGACAATTCCTTCCTCATCTTCCCCTCCCTCCTTTTCTCCTTTCTCTCTGCCAGTGTCCTGGTCTGTTAACTCATCTGTCAAGCAGCCTTGACAAGATGACTTCCAGCTTAATTCCAAGTCAGGATTCCACAAGTTTGCCATGGCAGATGGTTCGCTCAGATTCCAGCAAGGATCGATCAAAGATTCTTATGAAATAATCATAGGGAAAGTGGCTTTGCAGGGAAATAGTTCAACTCAAGAGTAACACGGCAAGGCAGTGACAACAGCCAAAGATTATTAACAAATGTATCTGCTTGGGAGGAGCCCGAAACGCAAGTCTTGGACCTCTAAAATAAAAATATGCCTAAAACAGTGCCGGTAACCGAATACAGATTAGCACAGAATTGGTGGCACTAAGCTGGCAGAGACACACGTGACTTGACTATTGAAAACCTTAGTACAATGACATGAAGCACAGTATCAGATCTACCCAGAAGCAAACTACTTCTGCTGTGCATATGTCCTAAAATATAAACAACTGCTTAACCAAATAATTTAGGACACTGGGATATTAGCATCTATAGATTTGGACAAATACACTAAATGAACCCCAGTCATACAGGTCCATCTGGCAAACTCCATGCTCTGTATGTGTTCCTTCAATGAAGGAATGTTCAATAAGCTCACACCCATCCTGTACTGGTGCCCCTCCACTTGTGAAAAGCCATGTCCAGAGAATGCCTTACGGAGTCTAGAACAATCCCTGAATTGAAAGCACGGATTGGGATAATGAATGCCAAGCCTGAGAACAACAGGACAC